GTAGACGTCCTATGGCTGAAATGATGATGATAATGATGATTTCTTCTTCAATTGCTCGCGTGAATAGTGTAGCATTCGGAACAATATTTCTTTTGACTATGGATGACAAATATTCAACATGTAACTCATTGTATCACATATGATATAATTATAACGTAACATATTACAACAGATTAACGATTGTTTGCTAGTTGTTACTAAAACATGTATTTGTTTTGATGAGTCAACCTTAATATTTGTTGTACCTATCATTTGATTTAAATAACCAACCCTCAAAGTGACCAAGCAGGGAACAACTAGGTAAGCATATTGAATTTACACAATGAGTAACTTTAACTTATTAGTAACTTTTGCCCGCGGCTTCACCCGCGTGAAATCTCGTTTGTCCCAGATCGTCATAAATTATAGCCTATATGTTATTCTGGGTTATAAACAATAATACTGTAAAGTTTCTTCAAAATCCGTTCAGTAGTTTTTGCGTGAAAGAGTAACAAACATCCAGACATCCAAACTTTCGCATTCATAATATTAGTAGGACTAGTACGTACCTAGGATTTTTGGTATAATGACTGTTAAACCTAGAAACTGTCAATAGCCGTCACGTAGTTACTTTATAGAAGAAAATAATCAAATAATGAGCGTAGTAAGTTAATTAAAATATGCAACTTTTTCCTTGTTATGAATGTTGTTTTATCACCATTTAACATACTCGTAATAGGTACATATCTTGAACTAATTATTCATGGAAACTAATAATCAGATATAACATATTTCCGTTAATATGTTTGACAAAGCAACATATTCGTAGTTAATTTCAGATTATGATGAAAATGAATTCCCAAAGCTCACTATAATTTAATCATTAATTTCACTTAATTAAATCAAACTTTTACTTCAACAGTTCCAATCCCGATAGTAATTACAAGTTTTTCGATTCAATTTAATCTTTCAGCTCCACTAAAGTGTTGTGACCATTATAATGTATAGACTCCGCTTCCTAATGTCCTACACAATTAAAAAAAAAGTGTCAGACACTAAGTATTCTTACAATAAACTTCTTTTCTGAGAGAGTTTCTATTCAAGCCGAAAGACTGGAAGTCTTCTCATAAATCCATCATACCGTAAATATCCAAAACGACAGTTTCTGCGCTGCCCTCATCCAGGTGCTTTCCGCAGTCTTTACTAGATCGTCAGCCCATCGAGCGGGAAGGCCTGCCTACACCATGTTCTCCATATTCCATACTCCTGCCTACACCATGTTCGCTACTCGAGAACTTTTATGCCCCAACGGCTATCACTTTTACGTGTGCCTCTTGCGTTTGGCTTTTATTACCATGTAATTATTTGGTAGTACAGTCAGCGTCAAATAGTTGGTGACACCCAAAGGAGCCAAAAACTTCACAACACGTATTTGTTACAATCGGAATAAGGTTGTGTTGTCTTGGTCACGAACTATTTGACGCAGAAAATTTTACTTAATGCAGTTTCTTCTATACAGCTAAGTAGTCTGTAGTTTCAATACTGAAGCTCAACATTTCTCTTCAATAAAGATTCAGCTATTTCTTATATTAAAAGCGTAAATCGCTGAGCTGTCGCTTGGAACGATAAAGTTTTCTTCGATATTAACTGTGTAGGTAGCTGAGAAAGTGAAGCTGATTTACTTGATGATATTTTTAAAAATGTTTAAAACCATTTAATTTTTATACAAAAAATTGTACTTAATATACCAGATCGCTGCGACATAAGGCTGATTTACACGCATTAAGTAAAGTAGTCAAGTGGGTAACTAATAACTTGATTTTAAGTCTATGTCCAAACCTATTTAAGTTGTCAAGCACTTGTTTACTAGGAAACTGCTTTTCAAAACTTACCCGAAAAATTAAGTTAAAATTTAGTTACCTACTTTTACACAAAACACTACCTAATAAACACACTGCCAACACTGCTGCTAATATTGCTGAACTTTTGTGACCAGCCGGGATGGGATGAGTATCGTGATAAAATAATGGATGTTATTAGATTACAAGTGCTTATCGCGTAAAATCGATTAAATGACGAGATAAAAGATTATATTGATAAATGTCTATGGACATATGAAGCCTTTATAAAAACCTATCAAGACTAACCTAATCACGTCAAATATAAACATTATCATTTATTTCCTCGACCTGCTTCTGGCAGGCTCATTAGTCAGGAGAAACCGGGTGAATAATGTACAGTGGTAATGAGACGTATCAGAGTTAACGGTGCACGTTTTGTAATACAGGGTGTTAAATTGTTAAAAGGTTACAAAATTAAATACGGGGTATTAAAAAGTGACGTTGAAAAGTTACAAAATTAGTGATAATGATAACTTCTAAACTACGAAAAATCGTAGAACATACATGGGGTGATTCAGGAAGCTCTACTGATGCTCTACCTCTGGGCTTCGGCTTGACACTACTTTTTGGAACAACCTGACCAACCTTGTATACTTTTTCTATGAGATTAAAATAGCAATTACAGTAAAGTTCGCTAGTATTTGTCATTATGGTATTCGAAACGTCTCAGAGACAGACAGCTAATATACGGAGAATCATTGAATCAATGCCGTATGACGAAACCGCGAGTCAACTCGGCATAACGCCATCTATGAGTGAAAATTGGAACGAATATTTCAAAAACGTGACGCCGTTGTGCAAAATGCAGCACATTTTCAACCTATAAATTAACACTATGAAAGCGGAGACGGAGATAATAATCATAAAGGCTAACATGTATCATTGCAACAAAATATCACAGGAAAGTTTGTTTGGACTTTCGATTCTAATTAAGGAAACATAAAGCAGAATATCCTACAGCAAAACCTCATCTAACCGTACTAGTTTCAGTTTTTGCATGCATTTCAGTTGGAGTAATGAAGTGGGCGTACAAACAAACAGCCGAATTCACAGAACTTTCGGGAAACAAACAATTAGGTATTCCAGTAGTTTTCGCACTAGTTTCCCGGTGAGATAAACACGTCATACCTGCTTAAACAAGATAAATACATTTTGTATTTTAAGCTTTTACTACTTTTTAGTTATGTAAGCTTTGCTGAGAAACGCGATAATAATTTTGAGCTACAAATGTAAAAAAAAAAAAAAACTTTGAATCAAGGAATAAATTTATTTTCAGCCATCGTACCTACATGAAAGTACGATTAGTACGCCGTACGTTTTGGTAATAAACGATTGATTACTGTGCCTCTACCATGAGTTGCCATCGAAAACTTGTATTCGTATACTACAGTCGATAGAGTTTAAACGTGGATCGATGAAGTTTGCATTAAAATCATACCATGAGTTCAATTACCGTATACTTTACTCGCCAGCGATAATTCGATGGTTTTGTGATGTTATGTTGGTGAACATGTTAACGTATCTAACTTCACACTCTATGAATGGATGAATGAAAGAACGAATGCCGCTCCTTTCTAACTATATAGAAAAGATAGAGTAGGAAATAACAAAAATGTCAAAAATAACACTGCAAAATTTAAGTGTCCTAGAACAGTGCTTAAAGCTGAATTAACATGATGATTTTAAATTTGTATTGTTTATTTCTTGTCATTGCGACTTTGACGCAGCTGTTGTCATGACAACAGATAACAAAACATGTTTTGTTGAAGGATTATTGATGAATAATTTTCCACAAAAAATCTGTTGTCATGACAACAGCTGCGTCAAAGTCGCAATGACAAGAAATAAACAATACAAATTTAAAATCATCATGTTATTTCAGCTTTAAGCACTGTTCTAGGACACTTAAATTTTGCAGTGTTATTTTTGACAATTTCGTTATTTCCTACTCTGTCTTTTCTATATAGTTAGAAAGGAGCGGCATTCGTTCTTTCATTCATCCATTCATAGAGTGTGAAGTTGGATACGTTTACATGTTCACCAACATAATATCACAAAACCATCGAATTATCGCTGGCGAGTAAAGTTTAAGGTAATTGAACTCATGGTATGATTTTAATGCAAACTTCATCGATCCACGTTTAAACTCTATCGACTGTAGTATACGAATACAAGTTTTCGATGGCAACTCATGGTAGAGGCACAGGTGCGATTGTGGTCAAATACCTGCCTTGTTATTCATAAAAAAAAATTATAGACGACATGACAGCACATTAGACTATACATTTCAGTTGAAAATTCACCCCTACTACAATTACATAAGGTCTCAGTATTTATCTTGACGTGCCGTCGTCTCTACCATTTCTGCTATGAACTAAGAAGTTAACCAGTAACCAGAGACGCGAATTTGCGAACATAAAAGGCGGCCATGTTGATGGCATAATTAGTTCTCGTCATAAACAGCTTGACAGAAGCGCATAATTAACTCCAACGACTACTAACGAGCTCTCTGCTTTTAGGCAAGGAAAAGTTAAGTTTGCAACAGACATGTTAACTGCCCGAACTCGTACAAATTATGTTAGCAGGGTCAACTTTTAACTTACAAGGTATTAAGTAGGCAGAGAAGGCACATATTTCGAACGTGTAGCGTCACACAATGCAATGTTGCTTGATACAAAATTAAACTAATATACCTGCTACGCTACGGCGCGTCGCGATGCGTTGATATACGAGGGGTGTTCAGAAAGTATTGAGAATGGGATATTTCTAGCCATCACAAAAATCTGAAAATTTTGGGCTGCTTAATTCTTCAGTAGAAGTTTATAAAAGAGAGAAGAGAGTGATAGCACAAGAATAGAGAAAATTAGGACTTAATCACAGATGCGTAACAATTACAAAAAAATCAAAATTATCTTTATTTGTTTAGACTAATTAAATTAGTACTTGCAAATCGTCAAATGCTCTTAAGGAGCCTATACGTGTCTCATTCTTTTTTTGCCCTACCAGCGCTTCGAGACAAACATTTGGCAAGTGCTGAGAAGAAGCGCCGCAACAAACTCAGTCACCACTGTCTGCCGGTTTAAAAATATAAAAAAGTACATTCAGAAGCAAGTTACTTACCACGCGATCCCGTTAATAGAAGGTGGCCTATAAAAATACACAATAAAGCATTGAAATTAAAACTCACAACACACACCGGAACTTGAAAATCAACTGATTAAACATATTGTAATGAACCAGATATCTTTTATTTTAACAATGACAATTAATTTATACAAAGCGTATGATATCAATTTGATAATGATGACGGCATTAAGCGGACAAACGACGATTTTATCACTAATCATTTTAAACGATTCCAAAAATATATACTTTCATACAGTAACTACATAGTCACCCTAAACATTCCTTTAAAAATCACTGTACCTATTGATGAAAATCCAAAATCAGTTGCGGCGTGGTTTATAAATCAAAGCGGACAGACAATGTCAAAATAAATTTCCCCATGAACTAAAAAGTGTTTTTAGTAAAAGATGTGTGGTTTATATTGCAGGGTAGGATATTTGCAGGATTTATTAAAAAAACTTTTTTTCTCTAATCTAAACTTCTTTCATCGAAAACAACCACGTCTGTCAAAGTTTACTGTACCTCTAGTAGGAAAAACTATAACCTAAACCTATATATAAACCTAGGGCGGCTATAATATAGGGGGCGCTGTTTAATTTTTCATACAAAATTTTTCGATGACACTTTGAATACGCAACGAAACGAACTCGAAAGTTTTTCCTACTAGAGGTACTGAGATAATAAGCATGTGAGATATTAAACGCCCGTATTCACAAACTATGAGGTCTCACAGTGCGCGTGGACGCACAGGTTGACACACGAATCAACCACAGAGCTCTATACAACTCTGTGCGTTCGATTTACTGCTTCACGCAAGCATCGTTTGTGAATACGGGCGTAAATGAAACAACTGAATTCATCTCGAATGTGGTCTAACCTTGTGGAATATACATACTTTTGTATCATCAACAAAATATAGTAAAATCATGTGGGTATTTGCCTCTATTTAGAACTATGTAGTGTGAAGGTCATTAAAACAAATGTATTGTATATCTATTCATCTCACTGTGATTTAATAAGCAGTGATACAAAGGTAGCACAATGGTTTAAAAACAATACAATTGTCCTTGAGCCCTGAGATTATGATTCAAAATATTTTTGGTGTAATGCACATTTTGTTTGAAATATTGATGGGAAAAGTTTTATCTAAAACTTATTCTAGAAATGACTCTATACATACATGGCACAAAATGGCATAAAGACATTCTTCAATTAGTAGGTACTTGCTAAAATAATACATTATATCGTGTTTCCTAGCCCCCTTCCCTAGTAATTTTACTATGCCCTACCTCTAAATCGATCCCACCGTAGACACGTAATCTTCAAACTCTCATAAAATAAATACTGTTATTTATTACTACGCCAAGGCAACGTTTTTATACAGCCTCGCTAACCGGCTGAAACGTCAAAATTAAACTACAAACGCTAACCAACGATCGCCCATAAATCAGAAAAGTTAGAGCGAAACTTCTAGAAATTCTAAACTTGAATTTTTCTAGCTTTCCAGACTAATAGGTGGAATTTCTGAAAAATCGGACGCGGGTGTAATACGTGGAAGTCCGCTCGAATATCCTGAACGTGTAGCGAAAAATTTCGTGGTGCGGGAAGGGGATGATGAATGACCTCTCCCTCACACTTGAACCAGGCATCCACTCGGGGCGGCCCTCTTATCTATTGTTTGTGGAGAATGCAGTACACACGGTTACTCAAAGCGATCCCGTGGCCGTATTGCTATTGAGCTAAAGTTGAAAATGGGACAAAAAGTGGGTTCTGGATCCGCTGCGTATGCATTTTGCAGCACGGTCGAGCCCAAACTCAAACAAGGATTAAAGAATGGCATTGTGACTACCCATCGCAACTTCTGACGGAAGTGGGACGCAGCTCTTTTATTGACTACAAAGGATTTTGAAGAGTGTCCTTGGGTCTACTTACTGAATTTTCTAATCAAATAAGGGTCCACTTACTGGGGAATTACAAGACGTATGATATCAGTAAAAAGGTGTTTCAGTATATGAAGTGTTTACTGGATAAGGATAAATAGCTTTCGCGTCAGAAAAATTAAACACATTTTTTAATTAACAAAAACAAAAGTTCTCTTAACACGAAACTTAAATATGCAACACCTATCTAGATAGGTGTTGCATATTTAAGTTCTACATTCTAGGCTCATGTCTGTTAGTTTATGTTTGTAGTGACTGTAGAGACATGAACCCTTAGTCGCACACCTAAACAACTATAGGTACCTAATATGGATAACAGAATGTCACCCTTAATGGCAATTTAACAGCCGAATTTATTTAATGAAAGAAACATACAGCTTTAATATTCCATATAGGTACAGAAGAGTTGTTAATACATAAGCCAAAAAAGTTTAGAACGTTAGTTTGTTAATAGCGAAGACATATTATAAAAAGTTTCGTAGTAAATACCCAAGCATACGAAACACGTCACAAATCCTATCCTTACTTTAATGTCAATTAACTGAGGGCTCCTTAACATAAGTAGAGCAGTAATGGCGGGACATAAAAGCCTGTTTCATTAACAGTAAAACAAGCTATCAAAACCTCCGAAACCTTCTCCAGAACAAGATCCCAAGGGTTTGCGAAAATTCGGGATTCAATGATGAGGAAAATAGCTAAAGAAGGAGACTTATCTTTAAAGCAGATTTCGAAATCACATTAACATTAAACAAATCTGGCAGGACTTTGTATATAATGATGAATTCATCATCATCATTTCAGCCATAGGACGTCCACTACTGAACATAGGCCTGCCCCAAAGATTTCCATGTTGACCTGTTGGTAACGGACTGCTAGTTAATGTTGAATTACAGGACCTAAATAAAGAAAGAAAGAAGGAACTGGATGCAGGCCACTACCAATTAGTCAATAGGAAAATCATTGGAGGAGGTTTATGTTCAGCAGTGTGGCTGACATGATGATGATGATCATCCGAGAATTAAAAAAGAACACGTTGTTTTATGGGTCTATGTATATTATTTAAGAACCTTTGTATACCAACATGGAGCAATAATTTGAATTTGAAAACGTTTTATTGTCAATTAAAAAGCTTAGCCTAACCTGTGGTTCTATTTAAAACTTAATTTGTATTGCTTTACAACTCAAATTTGTAATTACGTAAGTTCAGAATATTCGTTACCTGTAACGAGTTTGTTTTCGAAACGAATCTCGTGTTTCACGAACGCAATCTACTTCCGAAGTTGCCTGATTTCCATGTCAGCCGGGTAACAAAAATGTATTTTCGTTCATAAGTATAAAAACCTTTTTGGAGACATGGTTTTGCAACTCCGGAGTTTAGGAACGACCAATTTTTATACCAATAGTAAAGGATTATGAACAATAGTTAAAAGACTAATGCCCGTTTTCACCATCAATCCCTAATTTTTAAGTGACCCCTATGATAAAACATAACAGGTATTTTGTTTTCATAGGGGTCACTTAAAAATTAGGGATTGATGGTGAAAACGGGCATAAGCCAATGGTACAACAACAACACATCCTACACATCTTGTTGCAAAGTCGTCCCTATCACAACTACTTAAGATGCCACAGTGTTTAACTTTAGGTTGACGTATCGTCTACAGGATGTTAGGTAAATGGGTATATGAGCCGACACTAGCCCATGTTAACATGTGCATATAAATGGTATGGTGAAGTCAGAAATTTGATATCATCATTTTAATTATTTAAATTTTCATACAAATCTGATTTTATTTATTTTGTATCAACATTTAAAAAATTAAAATGATGATATCAAATTTCTGACTTCACCATACCATTTATATGCATATTATTATGTTAACATGGGCTATTGTCGGCTCATATACCCATTTACCTAACACCCTGTATACGTTACTACAGGTCTAGCGCTCAACTAAGTGCCTGAGGTATGGAAGCGGTACGGGAAGGTGCTTTTGAAACGTCAAACGTTAGCGACACTTCAGATTAATAGATGCGTGACAGGTGACAGAGACGTCATAACCGGTGGTGCTGTTTGTTCCCATACCTCAGGCCACTACCATACCTCTATGGAACTCACAACCTTTTCCAGCGATTACTTTTAAAATAACGCCAACATCAAACAATTGAACTTTTCCCCAATTCCAGAGAGAAAGTTCGAATTTCGAAAATTCAAACGTGTTCGAAACCACACCTATCGAAATAGTAAACCAAAAACCGGACAAAGCACCGTCCAGAGACAAAGGATAAAACTACGTACACGAACAAAATGCTATCGGAAAACCAAACGCAGACCGTGCAATACTGGTGTTGTAGAGTTGCCATCGTTTTTTTTTTCTATTTTTTTTTTTACCACTGTTACATTTTCAGCAACGGCATCGAGTTTTTAATGCCTGAATACTAATTACTTCGAAAGCCTTTGATTCCAAGGCTTATTACTTAAAACCTGCAGACGCGTCCTTCACAAAGAATATTAGCAAATAAAATCTTCTAAATTCACGAGAACTTGCGCAATATTCAATCTCTTCGAACGTTAATTAAACTTGAAATTGCTGAAGGAGTTTGAAGGTTTTTGTTAAAAGGAATCTTAATAAAAGAGGGTCCGGTTGATAATAGTGTTTTAAATAACTACGATAAATCTCTAGGGATAAGAATTTCATTTAATATTGAGCATCTTTGATACGAGAATTTTCGCAGCGCGCTCTATTGTTTTCCAAAGAATCATAATATTTTTGTAATCAGCGTTTAATATCTTGTGCCAGTGTCATAGAAAATAATATAATTAGGTATGTACTGTACTAATGTTAGTATTAAAAGTGTGGTAAATCCTAGGTTTTACTCGTTGTACGGATATATCTACACGTCAATAAAAAGAGACGATTTTCAGGTTGTTACCATTTGTCACATACTAGATTTTAGTTCGGTTAGGTAATAAACGTGCTTAAGTTTGTAAATTCCTCAATAAAAACTAGAATTTTATTCTTGTTTTGGCTTTTCTACCGAACAGACACCTATAGTAAATAATTTAAATGTATCGATACGTAGTGTTGTTTCCACAAACTTTTATTTCCAGCCGATTGAGAATGTATAGCTTTTTCTTTTTCGTCCTTTATTCGGC